TATTTAAGCAATTTGAATTTGATTTGATTTTTTCAAATCGAATCGAATCAAATCGAATTGAACTCAAATATTTGATCGAATCAAAATGAATCAAATATTTGATGACTTTTGAGAAAGAGAGTATAATGTCCACTTTCGTTTAGCAATTTTTTTTTTGTTTTTTTGTGGCTTAACCTTTTGTTTGCGTTGTAACCATTTTTTTTGTGGCATTTTTAGATAAATGAAGAAAGAACCATCGCGTGTTTATGTATGCATATACAACTCAATTTATTAGATCTGCATATTGCATAATAAGATGATCAGCAATCATGAGATTTAGGATCTTCATTTTTAGCATTTGACGCAGTTTCTAGATTGTTATCTTAGCAAATTTTTTTAGTATTCGAAAATAAGCACCCTATAGCAAAAGAGGTGCTTATTTTCGGAGGAGTATGGTAATAAATTATAATAAATTATAAAATTTTTAATTTGAAGTTAATTTATATTTTTTTAAATTTGTTTTTTTTATAGTATCATACAGTATATTAAAAAAAGTTGATAATAAATATAAAAATATATTAATATCAAGAATTACAAATAATTGAAAACATTTTCAATAATTTTAATTTTAATTACTTTATCATTAACTTATTTAATTTTATTTTTCTTAGAAATAGTTTAAAAATACATTTTTTTAATAAATAATAAGTTTGATTTAACATTTTATGTAATATTTTTTTTTTTTACAGAAATTAATTGTTTTATATAATGTAAATTCACAAATTTGCCAAATAGCATTTTTACAACTTTTTGAACACTGATCATTACCTTAATTTATCGGAAGGAATTTGGATAGATTTCGGAGCGGTTTCGGTTTAGCGTTAGACCACAAAAGCACAAAATTATAAAATCGTAATTTTGGAACTACTCCATTAGAAATCTGATGAAAAAATTTCCCACAAATCTTTAATTATGAAAACAATATAATTCTAGACTAATTTCGAAGTCCGGTTAGTATCAATTCCAAATTAAACCGAAACCAGCGGTCCGAAACTTATTCTGTTCCACATTGCGATCATATAGCTCAGCCCACTTTGATAAATAAATATGGGGATTATTTTTTTTTTTTATCAAAATAAAAAAAAAAATGGATTCATCAATTGATTCTGACCGAATTGCATTTGTAGGTCTAGGATCTATGGGCCTTCCTATGGCCATAAATTTGCAAAATTATTTTAAATCTCGGGGTAAGGAACCTCTTATAGTTTATAATCGCACAACCTCAAAAACAGAATCAGTTGTCGAAATTGGTGCGATCGCTGCAGAATCTTTAGACCAAGTTGTCGAACGAGCGAATATTATTTTCACCTCACTCGCAAATGATGATGTAGTTAATCGAGTTTACGATGAATTATTAAAATCATCAAAACCTAATGATGGAAAAAATGTAATTTTTGTTGAAATGAGCACAATTTATCCAACAACAATTGCTAATATCAAGGAGAGGGTTGAAAAAATTCCAAACCGACATATCATTTGTTGTCCTGTATGGGGTCCACCTACTAGCGCGAAAGAAGCTCAACTAATTATAGTTACTTCTGGCCAACCAGCTGCTATTAATCATGTTATGCCCTTACTTATACCTGTTTTGGGAAAAAAAGCAATTTCCATTGGCGAAGATGTAACGAAAGGTGTGACATTTAAATTAACCGGAAATTTTTTCATTGCTGGTATAATTGAATTGTTATCTGAAGGAATGACTTTGGCTGAAAAAACTGGAGTCGGAAGAGATAAACTAATGGAATTTGTTGATTTATTCTTTCCATATGGAAGTTTTCAAAATTATGGTAAAACATTTATTAAATAAAAATTATCATGTTCTTCTATTAATTATTAATCTTTTTTTTTTAGGGAGAAAAATGCAAAATGATACGTTCTCCTCTGACGTTGGATTTACTGTTACTAATTCTTTAAAAGATGTTAACCATATGCGTCGCCTCGCCGCAGAATATGAATGTCCACTCCCAGTCGTTGACATTGTTCACCAACATCTTATTTCCGCAAAAGCGAATAATGGAGAGAATTATGATTGGTCAAGTATTGTTGGAGTATTGAGAATTGCTGCTGGATTACCCTTTATTAAGAAAGAATAATTATTCATTGATTACTGCGTGAAGACTGCATTTTTTAAGGAAATAAATATCAAGATATTTCAGTTGTATTAAGTTTCCATTTTTCCATTCCAATTTTTTCATTATATCATAAATTTGAGTAGCAGTAAAATACCCCGTAATTTTTTAACTTGGAACCATACGATTGGGAATGAATTTAAGAGACTTGTTAATGGTTTACGAATTATTCCAATTAATAATTTCCATCTCTGTCAGCTTGATCGTGTAATTAATTCAAGACAATTTATTATATTTTTGTAATTGTCTTTGTTTTTATGGAATTATAAATTGGCAATAAATATTAATTGACGCAACTTTTTTCCCCAATCTTAATAATCCCTACGATGATAACTAACTTTCCTTAAGCCTATTAGATGCGCTCTAATGAAATAAGAGGAAAAACTTTTAGGTTACTTGCAGAAACTGCTTGTTTGATGGATGTTCAATTTCTAATACTTCCAGCACTCAAAGGATTTTGAGATACAAGACTCCCTAAAATACCTATCTCACTATTCTACGAAGGTATTTCTAGAAAGGTTGAAAGAGCTAACGATTAACATCGAACATATTGGCGTTCAAGGAAAATATCTTTAAGCGTGTGGTAAGCGAGATTTGCATAAAGCTAGCTTTGCTTGTGTTTAATAACCTCCTCGTGATAACAATTGACAGCCTATTACAATATTTGCGTCAATTCTAATGTCTTGAAGAGCAAACAGGCGAAATATTAGAGAAAAAATGTAGTGATAATTATCGAAATTATACGCAAGATAAGATTGAGTCAGGAAATGAAATTATATGGGCGTTTATAATGTAATCTTTCTTGCGTAAATAATCTGCGACGTAAGAAGCAGCGTTGCGTCTCGTAAGATATTTTTTTTTATAGTTAAGGTAAAAAAAAAAAATTTTAAAATTCCTTCCTTTCAATCCAGTTCTAAATCAAATTGACCAAATGGGGCATCGTCAATAGAAATGCATCATATAACATAATAAATTATTAAGTAAAATGTGCGTCTCTATTACGAAGTTTCATAAAATAAAATAAATAAATCTGAAGACCAAACAACATCTTTAAAGTCCAAAATTTGACCTAAGCATGCACCAAAAATTAGGGATGACCTACATAGTATTTATTTCTCAAACCCTATTCATTAAACAGGAATTTTCGCTGATCAAATTTATTAGTATGATTTCAACGAGGGTAGCACAAATATTTAGAAATCAGTTATCTGGTCCTTTATAGGAATGTTGAACAATAACGCCAGAGAATGCGGTATCAGACCAACTAGTTGAAGTCATAATTGGCAAATAAGGATGCCAACTAACATCTCTAATTACGGATTCTTGTTGAAATCTATTACGTCTTTGTAAGCTATATTCATCTTGTATTGCTTCTACGACATTTAATGATTGTACTAAGCGGCCATCGATACTAAAAATCTACGAAAAAAATAAATTAAGTACACAGCTAAAAGATAAATATGTCGAAGAATCAATTATTATCAACATGAATATTTATTTACTCTGACACGACCGTCCTCTGAACCAGTATAGAGAAATCTATAATATAATAAATAAAAATTATAAGCAGCGCAGGAACAAATCATGGTGACTGTTATTTTACCTTTGACCAGTAGTATTTGATGGAGAGAAGTGACATCTTATTAATGTTTTTAATACACTATGTCCACGATATGTCATAACCGACACATCTTGTGGATGTTTGAATTTTCGGTCGCCAAGATAATGATTCCACCTTGATATAAATTTTTCGTAAGAAAGTAAAGGTTACTGAGCGAACCGCTTGTAGACGAATTTACCTACCTATAATCCCAATCCGGTATACGATAATCTTCCAATTGCATCTTGTCAAATCTTTCTCCAGAGATCATCATCCTATTATTAAAAAAAAAGTGAATGTGTTTTTTCTAATTAAATCATATCTGAATCAATTTTTACAATTACCTAATGTCCCACAATTTCATTGTTTGATCTTTACTATTGGATAAGCAATATCTACCATCGCCTTTTGTTGCTACGTAAGTAATTCCCTCAGTATGTCCCACCAATACACCACTTTCTTTACCATCTCTCATGGATCGACGATCCCAAACTTTAATATATGCATCATCACTGCCACTAAATAGAATATGAGATGAATCATCCGCAAAACATACAGAATTAACATCAACGCTATTATGTCCATTTAATTGAAGCAAAACAGTTCGTGCCTCAATATCATAAACTAATTGAAATTATTCAAATTAATATAATACATTGTGGAATTAATTAATTAATTATAATACTAATAAAGAAATGATTCTACCATAAATTCTACCATCATTAGCACCTCCTATTAATTCCTTTGCATCATTTGAAAAACGAATGGACCATAGCTAAAAAAAAAAAAAAATTAAATTAAAATAAATTTTTTTCTGTTTTAAAAAAAATCTTATAAGTATAATTCATTCACCCCGAATTCTTGTGGTAATTGTCCAGAGAAATCGAGAGGTATTTGAAACTCGTCATTAGGATCCGTCTTTGCCAAATATACAATTGGTGTGATACTTGTATAGGCTAACCATTGATTATCTAAACTAAGATTGGCGTCGGTAATCGTCCACCTTCCATAGTCTCCGGTTATTGTTTTCGTCTCTTTAAACACATTGGGATTTGTAGTGTCATATATGTGTACACGAAAATCTTGGCAACAGGTATAAAAGAATGATCCATCTTGAGAATATTGTCCAGAATAAGCTCTTACGCCATAATTAATCATAACTTTTCCATTTGTATTTGGTTTAAAATTCTAGTTTTTTTTGATATCAAATAATATCATTAAAAATTAAAAATTGAAGAAAATATTGATTTATTTTAAATTGTACCTTTCCAAAAGAAACTTTCGAGAATCGACCTGGAAGTAATTCTCTCAACATAAGTTGATGACATGCATGCTTGGAAAATAATTTTTCCGCATTTAATCCTTTATCCGGAGAAGGTTCAATCTAATTTATAAATTTAAAAGGATAGTCACATAGCCTGTATACAATTAAGGGATAAAATAAAAATAAAAATTTAAAACTTACAATTCCAAATTCTCCAGATTTCAATAATATTTCGCCGTTATTCATTCCATCATCAAATTCATTAGAATTAATACTTAAAGATGAATTCGAACTACTTTCATTATCAGCAGACTCTTCTTTCTGTGCAGTTCTATGAAATTGAAAAAATCCCAATATTGAATTACTTTCCATTAACAAAATATCAGTATTCGATTCGTTAGAATTATCTATTAATAATAATTCATTAATGTCATTAAATTAGTATTGAAATGTCAATCAAATCTATTATTCACCTGAATGATTATATTCTTCAGTAATTCCAGCTGCTTGTTCTGCGGGGAAATAAATAACATTATCGGATATTTCACTATTATTACTATCATTACTTGTCATTTTAATTATCAAAAAACAAATAAATAAAAATAAATATAAAGAGGAAATTTATAAATAAGAAATTTTATTGAAAGGAAAATTAAAGATCGGTAAAAGTTTTTTATTACAATCAAAAATTTCATGTAGATCAATTTTTAATTTAAGCATATGTAATGGGATGATCGTGATCCTGATTTATTTTGATTTACATAATTTTGGCTGGAATTAACAATTAGGTATGTAATTCTGACTGGAATTAAGATCAAGAACTAATAGACGAAATGTTTTTATTATAAAATTAACAAAATTAATTACATGTAATTGAAATACAAAGTATTAAGCATTTGAAGGGAATCTTAACTCAGATTTTCTCTACTCTCATCCAAATATTATTATAAACAGAAAAACCGCATTCTATACTATAAGAAAAAATAGGCATCCAAATATAATCTAAAGAAATTTGACTTAAAAGTGGTAGATGATTATATGAAACTTTTTGCCAAAATTCCTTCAAGTTTAAATATTCAATTAATGTCAAATCAAAGTTGTAATATATGGTTCATTCCTAAATGAAATCACACAAAGGATTTGCAAATTCAACTATTAAATTGCTATAAAAAAAGAATATCTTAGGTTGAGACAAGATTTACAAATTTTGGATCAAATATTTAAATTGCTTTAAAAAGTGTATAATATAGGTGATGTGAAATGTATTTTCTATATTTTTAGAAGCTGCATCATAAAGCAAATTTAAATTCATAGGAGAACTTGCCTATGATTGGCCGATCAATTTAAATTGAATTTATACAGTTTAAAATACTTTTTTAATTTTGATAATCTACTTGATAAAAAAAATTTATTTTATTTCCAATTTTAAAATATCTTTAAAATTCATTGTACAAAAAGATCTCAAAAGAATCTGAAATCTTAAAGTACTTTACTTAAAAGAAAGATATACTTCTATTTATTATAATACATATAATATTAGATTATATGAAATTATTATATACTAAAGATAATTAATTAATTAGAATAAAGTAATTGAGTTTTATTTTTTTTAGTTTTAGTATTATACATAAACTGAATCCATTTCTTTATTATAATATACCTAATTGTTCTTTTTTTCTATTAATACAAATATGATTAAAGTTATAGTAAAGTCATACTCATAATTATACAGTCGACCTCTCTACTGTCACACCCTTCGGAACCAAAAATAAAAAGTGTGACTATAGTGAAAAGTGACTATATAGAAGGATTTTTTTTATAGTATTACTAAGTATTGGTTC